AATTTGGTGAAGATCGGTTCAGATGTAGCTATAGCTCCCATATATTCTGTTCATCCGATTTGTTATATTTGTTACCCACAGCCGTAATATGCAATCCGTAACAACGATATTCAATATATCAAATACAGCTAAGAAATATCTTTGCCAAATTTTATCGAGATCGGTTCAGATTTGGATATAGCTCCCATATATATCTTTATCCGATTCAAAATTAATTGTGCACCAAATGGGCAATACAATTCCGAATTTAAAAGATACAAATGCTTCGGCATATTTAGTCCTTTGAACTTTAAATTATAATTATAATCATAGCGTGTATGATTGAATTCTCCCATAAAAACTTTTAATTGTTATGTGGAGCTCTACTAAATTAGCAAAGTGGTGTAGGGTATCATAAAGTCGGCCCCGAACGACTTTAAGACTTTCTTTACTGTTTTTTTTTTTTTTAATTATATTGAATAAAAGCAAAAAAATATCGGAAATAGCATCAAATTTTAGAATAAGTTTAGATTTGTTCGAATTGGACACCTTTAGCACGAATTATGGCCTTCAAACCAATAAAACTGTTACACGCTCCCCGAACGTTGATCTGCGGAATTGAGTTGATCGACTTTGGTATTTTTAATGCCAACATTGCTTTCCACAATACTCCAGACACAATAGTCCAACGGATTGGTATCCGGAGATTTTGGTGGCAATTGTGCGCTGGAAATGAATCGTGGAACCTCATTTTTTAACCATTCTTGCGATGGTGCTGAGTCCTGTTGGATGGTCCTAGGTCTGAGACCAAAATGTTTGCGTGCCCAAGGCTTTAATACACCCTCCAGAATATTTTCGCGATAATATTCGGCATTTATTCTGATGTCACGGTCGATTAATACGAGCGCAGAGCGACCATCAGCTGTTATGACGTCCCACACCATCACCTTGGCCGGCGCTTGAGTTCTAGTGGCCAACCGAAGGTGCACATTTTGACCTCTTTGGCAAGTGAACACTATCATTTTGTTTGTTTACAACCTGCTGGTCAACGAATGTTTAAAAAAAAAAAACAAATTCGACAGTTCACCACTTTCGGCTAAGCGAAGCAATGCTTTAGCTCTAATTTAATTTTTATACCCTACACCACAAGGTTGTCGGGGTATTATGTCTTTGTGCATTTGATTGTAACAGTTCCTTTCCTCCTTCCTTTTCCTTTTGATGATCTGCATAGAATCACATTCTGAGTCGATTTATGCATGTCCGTCCGTCCGTCCGTCCGTCCGTCCGTCCGTCTGACCGTCCGTCCGTCTGTCCGTCCGTCCGTCTGTCCATGTATTTTTGTAAACAAAGTACAGGTCGCATTTATTGCCCGATTCAGTTGAAATTTTGCACAGATCATTTGTTTGGTACAAGGACGAACCCTATTGAAATTGGAGATAATCGGTCAAAATTTAGATATAGCTCCCATATATATCTTCGTCCGATTTGCTTTTTATTGTGCACCAAACGTGTAATATCAGCCTCAATTGTATGGAATTTTGCACATGCACCCAAATTTGGCCTGAAAATAAGTATGCCAAATTTGATCGAAATCGGTTCAGATATATCTATTGCTCCCATATATATTGTTCAACCGATTTGTTAATTTTGCCCTCTGCAGCCGTAATATGCCTTCTGCAACAACAATATTTGGGGAAATATATCAAATACAGCTCAGAAATACATTTGCTAAATTTTATCGAGATCGGTTCAGATTTGGATATAGCTCCCATATATAACTTCGTCCGATTTACTTTTGATTGTTGCCCAAACGTCTAATATTTGCCCAAATTGGATGAAATTTGGCACTTACGACCAAATTGAGTCTAGAAGCTAGTATGTCAAATTTGGTGAAGATCGGTTCAGATTTAGCTATAGCTCCCATATATATTGTTCAACCGATTTGTTAATTTTGCCCTCTGCAGCCGTAATATGCCTTCTGCAACAACAATATTTGGGGAAATATATCAAATACAGCTCAGAAATATACTTGCTTAATTTGATCTAGATCGGTTCAGATTTGGATATAGCTCCCATATATATTTTTTTCCGATTTCAAATTAATTGTGCACCAAATGGGCAATACAATTCCGAATTTAAAAGATACAAATGCTTCGGCATATTTAGCCCTTTGAACTTTAAATTGTAATTATAATCAAAGCGTGTATGATTGAATTCTCCCATAAAACTTTTAATTGTTATGTGGAGCTCTACTAAATTAGCAAAGTGGTGTAGGGTATCACAAAGTCGGCCCCGACCGACTTTAAGACTTTCTTTACTGGTTTTCTGTTGAATTTCAAATGAAATATTGCGATAAGTTCGGCCACTGCGACGCGGGTTTCGATCAAGTCGCCTCTTCACTTTTCCAACCACTTCTGCTGACGTTGCTGTTTCTTCCGTCCACTTCTTTGACGTCGGGCTGCGCTACCAGTATCACGGTAACGAGCAACGGTACGAGACACAAAAGATTTATTCACTTTTATATGCTGAAGTGCTCTAACGATAGCCACTTGTGGTTTTCCAGCCAAATATGTAGAAATCACACTATCACGCTTGAATTTCATCACGAAAAACTATTTTTCTGGAAAATTCTCACCAAAATGCTTTTGTACGCTTGTAAACAATATAATGAGCTGTCACTGGAATAATTTTAACAGCTGTCGGACGAGTGGCTTAGAAATGACAGCAGCCTGAAGTTGGTTACAGTTTTTTCATCTCACCCTGTATATCTTCAACCGATTTCGGGTTAATTGTGCACTAAATTGCTAATATCAATCCAGATGACCTAAATTTTGGTACGTTCGACCGACTTATGAGCACATCTGCATCAATGCAACGGTAAGAAGTGCTGTGATTTCGCCGGGATTATAAATATTTGCTATTCAACGTAAGTTTTGGTATTTATACCCTACACCACATAGTGGTAAGGGTATTATGTCTTTGTGCATTTGTTTGTAACATGGAGAAGGAAACGAGATAGACCCATAGTTACTTTTGAGAACCTTCATAGAATCACTTTCTGAGTCAATTTATGCATGTCAGTCCGTCTGTCCGTCCGTCTGTCCATGTATTCTTGTGAACAAAATGCAGGTCGCATTTATTATCCGATTGAGATGAAATTTTCCAAACAATATTTTTTTGGCCCAAGGACGAACCCTATTGAAATTGGTGAGAATCGGATCAAATTTTGATATAGCTCCCACATATATCTTCATCCGATTTCGGGTTAAATGTGCACCAAATGTCCACTATCAGTCCAAATTACCTGAATTTTGGCACACCCAACCGAGTTCGGCCTAGAAGCAAGTATATCAAATTTGGAGAAAATCGGTTCAAATATAGCTATAGCTCCCATATATATCATCATCCGATTTGATCTTTAAGTCCCTCACATTCCTACTATGCACTCCACAACCGTGATATTTGGTACCAGGTATTAGATGGAGCACAGAAATAGGTGTTTTAAATTTTATCGAAATCGGTTCAGATTTGGATATAGCTCCCATATATATCTTCATCCGATTTCGGGTTAATTGACCACCAAATGGCCAATATCGGCCCAAATGGCTCGAATTTTGGCACATGTGACCGAGATTAGCCTTAAAGCAAATACAACAAATTTGGAGAAAATCGGTTCAGAAACAGCTATAGCTCCCATATATATGTTTTATCCGATTTGGTGTTTAAGCCTCTCACATTCGTAATATGCACTCCACAAGAATGATATTTGGTACCAGATATAAGATACAGCCCAGAAATAGCTGTTTGTAATTTTATCGAAATCGGATCAGATTTGGATATAGCTCCCATATTTATCTTCATCCGATTTCGGGTTAATTGTGCACCAAATGGCCGATATAAGTCCAAATGGACTGAATTTTAGTACATCGGACTAAATTCAGCCTAGAAGCAAGTATATCAAATTTAGTGAAAATCGGTTAAGATATAGATATAGCAACCATATATATGTTTCATCCGATTTAGTGTTTTAGTCCCTTACATTCGTAATATTCACTCCACAACCGTGATATTTGGTACCAGGTATTAGATGGAGCACAGGAATAGCTGTTTTAAATTTTATCGAAATCGGTTCAGATTTGGATATAGCTCCCATATATATCTTCATCCGATTTCGGGTTAAATGTGCACTAAATGGTCAATATCAGCCCAAATCACCTGAATTTTCGTACATAAGACCGAATTCAGTCTAGAAGCTAATACGTAAAATTTGGAGAAACCCGGTTCAGAGATAGCTATAGTTCGTGAAATGCACGATAGAATTAGATAGATTTTGATTTTGTACCAAATATCATAGAGCTCTGAAATGCCCTGTATAAACCTTTTTACGAGAGCTCTACTAAATATGCATAGTGGTGTAGGGTATCATATAGTCGGCCCCGCCCGACTTTTGAGCTTTCCTTACTGGTTTTAATAAATGTTATGGTCTTTTACCCCCTAAATATTATTCGATGTGTCGATTAGTAGACACATAAATTTGCACCGATTATCACCATATTAAGTAGATGATCTGTGCATTTATTTATCGCAATCGAATAATAAATGCAAAAACTTGTTAATTTTGGAAAAATTATTCTGGACTTATACGAATTGAACTCTTCGACTTCGTTGTATGGTAAGAAATATAAAACCCATGAGAGTTTTAAACATCAATCGGTTGAAACTATTCTCACATTGCTCCAATGGTCTCTCCTCCATGTTGAATGTTGTACTGTGAAATTATATTTTTTTTCCAATTTTTATTTGGACATAGCTTAATTTTTCAGTCTGTTGTTTATCTAGGATTACTGGTGCAACCAACACTTAGGCTCTTAATAGTAACAAATAATAAAATATTGTGGTCCATAAAAATACAACAAATACCAACCTGTTAATGTATTTTCTCCATTATCAAAGTAAGTGAATGTGTTTTTATTTTCTATGAAATACATAATATTTTTTTGCAAATGACAATAAAATATATTTGCCAATTTTTTTCCACACAAAAATAAGAGTATTTATATTTGTGAACCAAACAGAAAAAAATATAATTTTCCACAATAAAAATCGAAAGTGTCGAAAGAAAACAGTGTTATATAATTTAATGGATTTCAAACGAAACACTTAAGCCCCAACAGTAGTACCCTCTCCACCGTCTTGTCCCTCATCATCATCCCCATCAGCTTCAATGCGTTCTCCAATGATGATCTCTTCGGCTAACTGATAGAGCTCTCGAATATCCTGGAAAAAGGCGTAATATTTTCTTTATGAATTGAAAAATATATTTGCATTATTCCCCCAACCCCAACTTACCCGAGCATTTCGCAATTGCATTATTTTCTCATCTTCGTAACGTAAATGATCGTATTGATCCTTGGAAATGAGTAAACCTTCGGCCACATCTCCTTCCAGTTCGTGTTTCAACATATTGGCATATCGCTGTTTTGCCACACTGATGGTACTGCCTTCATCAAATGATTCACCACTTGAGATATCGGATGCATCATCGGACGCTATAGCTTTGGGAACCAATGATGTTTCATCAGTTGCAGCTGGTTGAACCTCCGTACCATCTGCAGTCTCTTGTGATTGTAAAATGGCCTGGAATGTAAAACAAGTAAAAAACACTAAGTCCGGCCGGGCCAAACTTTTAATACCCTCCACCTTAGGGTAAAAGAAACATTAGAAGAAATGTGGCAAAAACCATTAAAATGCCGTTATATGGGGGCTACACCAAAACGTGGACTATAATTACAATGTTTCGCTACACAAACTAGGATCCATTAGGACCCACAAATACCAATTTTTAGACAAATCAGTGAAAAAATGTTGCAGAAATCATCAAATTACCGAATATCGGGAGGAACCGTTATATGGGGGCTATACCAGAACGTGGACCGATATATCTCATTTTCAATACCAACCATCCTAGACACAGTGCAAATAGCTCTGCTAAATTTTGACACTCTACGTCAAATATTGTGGGCTGTATCGTGATTTCAACAGACAGACGGACATCGTTAAATCGACTTAGAATTCTATGCTGATTATGAATATATATACTTCATGGGGTCTAAGACGAATATTTAAGGATGTTACAAACGGAATGACAAAGTTAATATACCCTCCTTTCCAAGGTGGAGGGTATAAAAATAGGATTGCATAAAATAAAAAAAGCTTAATTTTAGGTATTATGAGGTATTTTGCTTAGTTATACCCTACAACACTATGTGTGGGGGTATTATAATTTTGATTGGACCAACAATTATGTAACACCTCGAAATATTGGTTTCCCACATAGGAAACTCTCGCTGAGTCGATTTAGCTATGTATGTCCGTTTTCCATCTGTCCATGTTACATATCGTAATTATGTCCCGAACCTCATGAAATTTTGCATGGAGGTGGGGTTATGGTCAGAATAGAAGCCTATTACTATTGCCTTCCAATTTGAATGGTCATCGGGTAATATTTAGTGGGTGAAATAGGCCATAATATTTGTCTTAAATTAAAATCAATTTTCTATTAAACCGCAAATATTTTCAATCCCGGTGAAATCACAAACAGACGAAAAGGTCAATTCTGACCATTACGAAGATGCCGATAGTAAACACAGGGAGAGATGAAAAAAACTGCAACCAATTTAAGACTGCTGTCATTTCTAAGCCTCTCGTCCGATAGCTGTTAAAATTATTCTAGTGACAGCTCATTATATTGTTTACAAGCGTACAAAAGCATTTTGGTGAGAATTTTCCAGAAAAAATGTTGTTTGTAATGAAATTTAAGCGTGGTAGTGTGATTTCTTTATATTTGGCTGGAAAACCACAAGTGGCTATCGTTAGAGCACTCCAGCATTAAACGTGAATAAATCTTTTGTGTCTCGTACCATCGCTTGTTACCGTTATACTGGTAGCGTACGCCGACGTTAAAGAAGTGGACGGAAGAAAACAGCAAGATCAGCAGAAATGTTTCGAAAAGTAAAGAGGCGACTTGATCGAAACCCGCGCCGCAGTGGCCGAAAAATGGCTCGTGAGCTGAACACATCACAATATTATATTCGGCAAATATTAAAAAATGAACTCGGGGTAAAGCCATTGAAATTTCAAAAAGTGCAACAACTTACACCGCAATATAAAGAAAATATACTCAAAAGAGCTAAAGAGTTGCTGTGCTTGGCCGAAAGTGGTCACCATCGCACTCAGCACGCGTTGTCACCAAAATCTCCGGATACCAATCCGTTGGACTATTGTGTCTGGAGTATTTTGGAAAGCAAGGTTGGCACTAAAAAATACAAAAGTGTCGATCACCTCAAACAAGCGCTTCGCCGGGAATGGGCCAAAATGCCGCAGGACAACATTCGGGCAGCGTGTGACGGTTTCATCGGCCGTTTAAAGGCCATAATTCGTGCCAAAGGTGACCTATTCGAACAAATCTAAACTTATTCTAAAATTGATGCTATTTCCGACATTTTTGTTGTCATTCAATAAAATTTAAAAAAAAATGTTATGGAGTTTATTTTTGTTGCAGTTTTTGATCTCACCCTGTATATTATTTTATACGATCAAAACGTGTCTCATCGAAAAAAAGGTTTTATACCCTATTTCTCTGTGAACCAAATATATATATTTTTAATATTTTTATAAACACAATATCTGGTGTGAACGTGATACATATCGGTCAAAAAGGTCAAATTTTCAATACTTAGAGCCGACACCTGAGTCGTTAAAAAAATTTGGCTAAGATTAGAGTCACAGTCTAACGAATGGAATTTTTTGCTAGAAAATTAAAAAAAAATCGGATGGATACCTCTTGGTACGAACTGTTGGAATTGTAATGTAAAGATAGTTCAGCTACTTCCCCCTTTGTATACCCTTCACCAATGGTGGGATGTATTAATTTTGTCACTTCCACAGTGGTAACTGCTCTTACTTTTGAATGGATCATTTTAGATGACCAATTATAATTTTTTACAACTCTTATGGCATCTTCTAGCAAAACCTCCCACAAAACGGTTACACCCGGTTTGAGGTTATAATTTAATTTCAGCTATTTTGGCGTCTCCCTATATCGCATCATTTGGAATTCTACTTAGTAGTCTCCGACAAATATTAACACTACGAAATAGTCTTCATTTTTCAGTACCTTCCGAATTTGGGTATTTTGTATATCCCCATATAATTGTATCACCATATATTCGACATTTTGAACTTTTTATACCTTTCATCATAGTATGGAGGGTATATTAAGTTTGTCATAACGTTTGTAACACCTTGAAATACACATTTTAAACCCCACAAAGTATATATATATATATATATATATATATATATATATATATATATATATATATATATATATATATATATATATATATATATATATATATATATATATATATATATATATATATATATATATATATATATATATATATTACATAAATATATATTATGTCTGCAGGTATTGAAATTGTGCCATGTAGGTCCACGTTTTGGTTTAGCCCCCATATAACGGTATATCCCGATTTTCGGTATTTTGATGATTTTAGCGACAATATTCACCGAAATTCTTTCAAATTTGGTATTTGAAGTTCGTAATGTATCCTATAGCCAATGACAGAAAATTGTCCGGTATTTTAATGATTTTAGCCACATTTTTCAACGGAGTTATCTGAAATTCTACACAAGGATTTGTTTTTGTGCACTTTACCCGCTGAAAGATAATTGTCTATATAGGTCCACGATATCGTATAGCCCCCATATAACGGTACCCCCCATATTCGGAATTTGGATGACTTTAGCCACATTTTTCAACGGAATTGTCTGAAATTCTACACAAGGCGTTGTTTTTGTGTACTTTATCCCCTGGAAGAGAATTGTCTATCCACGATATCGTAATGGTACCCCCCGATGTTCGGGATTTGATGATTTTAGCCACATTTTCCAATGGAATTGTCTGAAATTCTACATAAGGAGTTCTTTGTGGGTACTTTACCCCCAGGCATAGATTTGTCTATATAGGTCCACATATCGTATATCCTCCCAGTAATCGGTTCCTAATTCGTTCCAAACGAAGGAGGACATTCAAAGTTTGGCCCGGCCGAACTTACTGCTTTTTTACTTGTTTTTTTTTTTTTCAACAAAAAGGAATAGTTTTTATATTTACTTATTTTGTTATCACTGTGTAAAGTATTTCATCATCAAATGGTTTTGAGTACATCACGATATCATGCTTTAATAAAAAAGATAAACGAAAACTTCAACGTGTTTAATGCAGTTTATTCCGAAGCTTACAGCTTTAATAGCAAATCAATGAAAATCCCCAACTTTGAACAAACAAATGGATGACAACAATGGACAATGCTGACAACAATAACACCATATACATACAAAACAATAACAACACGAAGAACTAAATATTTCCTATACCCAAGGCATTGTATTTCAAAAATGTCTCTTGTTCTTCTTTTTTATATTTAACTTTAATTAGAAAGTAAAACATTGTCTGTTGTCGTGTCGATTCTGTATGTTTAGCCATTGGCTAATTTTAGAACTTAAACTTTTTAACGTAAGCAAGCAAGCAACGTAAGGTAAGGCAATGGAATGGCCGATTCAGCAGAAATATGATGCCAAGGACCTACCTGGTGCACGTTTGGAAGGTAAAAACGCAAAGAAAGAGAAAACAAAAACAAAACTAAAACAACAAAGCTTAACAAGTAAAACTTTGCTAATTCGCCTCATATTTCTGTGTGATGACGTTGACGATGATGATGATGATGATGATGGAGATGATGATTTGTTACGGATATAAGTATGGGGAAATCCCTTTAAGTAAACGTGTTTGTCTCAACAGGTAGGAGACATTCTTTGAGCCATGCCAGCAATCCAACACCGTTGCGAAAAGTATAATACAAACGTTTCTTCATGCTTTAAGTTTGGAAAAATTAAATTGAAATCACAATGTAACAAAATGCCCTATTGATTAACCTAATTAATTTGCACAGCCCCAAAAATTTTAAAATGTAAAATGTACGGGTTGTGTAGTTGTTATCTTACCCTGAGTATTGTGGTTATGGTGTAAATATCATGACTGTGAAACATATATCTCTTATATGTGCATAAGGGATGGATTTATGAACATGTATTTTGACAATGGGATGTTGTCAAATTTATAATTTTGAAAAAAAAAAGAAAATTAAACATATTTTTGCACGAATTTTACTTTTAAACCAAGTAAGCCGATAAACAAGATTTACCATTCTATGTGCCAAATGCCTACGTAGATTGGCCATGCAGTAGTCGGTTCAATTTTTAAGAAATTTTTCGTATGCAACTGTATTTCACCAATTACCAATTTAAAAAAACATTTGGAAGGGAGTTGAATAATTTCAAAATAAAATAAATAAATAAAAAAAAATCCGTCGGAAAATACAGCTTAAATGAAAATCGTTTTATGGAAGCTATACATAGACGTGGATCTACATAATTAATTATCTGTCATATGCTGTAATACCGATTTCGAACTTCAAATATCAATTTTAAACAAGTGAAAAAGCTGTAAGTTCAGCCGGGCCAAACTTTGAATAACCTCCACCATTTGGAACAAATTTGGCAATTTAAAAAAAAAAAAAAACAGTAAAGAAAGTCTTAAAGCCGGACGGGGCGACTTTGTGATACCCTACACCACTTTGCTAATTTAGTATGGTAGTATTCAATCATACACGCTATGATTATAATTATAATTTAAAGTTCAAAGGACCAAATATGTCGAAAGATACAAATCTTTTAAATTCGGACTTGTATTGCCCATTTGGTGCACAATTAATTTGAAATCAGATAATGATATATATGGGAGCTATATCCAAATCGAAACCGATCTCGATTACATTTGGCAAAGATATTTCTGAGTTGTATTTGATATATTTCCCCAAATATCGTTGTTACGGAGTGCATATTACGGCTGTGGGTAACAAAAATAACAAATCCGATGAACAGTACATATGGAAGCTATAGCTATATCTGAACCGATCTTTACCAAATTTGACATACTAGCTTCTAGACTCAATTCGGTCGTAAGTGCCAAATATTAGACGTTTGGTGCACAATAAATGGTAAATCGTACGAAGTTATATATGGGAGCTATATCCAAATCTGAACCGATCTCGATAAAATTTAGCAAATATATTTCTGAGTTGCATTTGATATATTTCCCCAAATATTGTTGTTACAAAGTGCATATTACGGCTGCGGAGGACAAAAATAACAAATCGGATGAACAATATATATGGGAGCTATAGCTATATCTGAACCGATTTCAATCAAATTTGGCATACTTATTTTCAGGCCTAATTTGATTGTATGTGCAAAATTCCATACTATTCGGGCTGATATTGTACATTTGGTGCAGATTAAAATGCAAATCGGACGAAGATATATATGGGAGCTATATCTAAATTTTTACCGATTATCTCCAATTTCAATAGGATTCGTCCTTGGGCCAAAACAAATGATTTGTGCAGAATTTTATCTGGATAGGGCAATGAATGCGAACTGTACTTTGTTTACAAAATACATGGACAGACGGACAGACAGACAGACGGACATGCATAAATCGACTCAGAATGGGATTCTATGCAGGTCATCAAAAGGAACTATGGGCCTATCTTGTTTCCTTTTGCCTGTTACAAACAAATGCACAAAGACATAATACCCTGACCACCTTGTGGTGTAGGGTATAATAAAATCCGTTAAAAATTCTGTTAAAATACCAAATTTAGCCGTCATGTTAGGGTCTAAACGACGACGTGGACCATAGGCAACTTTTGTCATAAGCCACAACAATATTTAAATGCAAAACTTGAAAACAAAAAGAAATCGGTGAATAATGTAACTAAAATTATCTATATAGGGAGGTATTATTATATTGGGGCTCTACCAAAATGTGAACCTGCACGGAAACTTTTCTGTCATATTCTGTAGTATCCATTACGAACTTCAAATACCAAATTTGAAACAATTCTGGTGAATAATGTCGCTAAAATCGTCAAAATACCGAATATCAGGAGGTACCGTTTTATGGGGGTTATACGAAGACGTGGACCTGCAGAGAAAATTTTCTGTCATAGGCTATAGTATTGTATATGAACTTCAAATACCAAATTTGAAACAATTCCCTCCATACTGTGGTGGAGGGTATAAAGACAATTCCTGTGAATAGTGTCGCTAAAATCATCAAAATACCGATATCGGGAGGTACCGTTATATGGTGTCTATACAAAGCGGTGGACCTACATGCGCAATTTATTTGTCTTTTACTGTAGTACCCATTAATACCTTCGAATACGATTTTTGAAAAATTTCTGGTGGATAATACCGTTATATATGGGCAATACAAAGACATGGACCTGCATAGACCATTTTCCTTCATAGCTTGTACATAGTACCCAGAGCGAACTTAAAATACGAAATTAGAAAATTTTCCGGTTAATAATGTCGCTGAAATCATCAAAATACCGAATATCGGTATAGAATAGCTCGCATATAACAATACCTCCCGATATTCGGTATTTTGATAATTTCAGCGACATTATTAACCAACGAAGACGTGAATCTGCGTACACAATTTTTCGTCATAGGTTGTAGTACCCCTTACGAACTATAAAAACGAATGTCGCCAAAACCATAAAATTACCGAATATCGGGGGGTATTATCGTTAAATGGCTGCTATACTAAAACATTGCGCTATGGCAATTCTCTTCTAGGAGAAAGACAATACCGAAATTGTCTGAAATTCTGCACAAGGAGTTCTTTGTGAGTACTTTTGCCCCTGAAAGAAAATTGTCCATATAGGTCCACGATATCGTATATCCACCAAATAACGGTACCTTCCGAAATTCGATATTTTGATGATTGTAACTAAATTTTGGAATTTTCTGAAAATTCATACAAGGCGTTCCTTCTGAGTACTTTACCCCCTAGAAGAGATTTGTGTATATAGGTCCACGTCTTCGTATAGCCCCCATATAACGGTTTACATTTAAGTTATATATTTTAACCGTTTTTTTTTTTTTTTTTTTTTGAAAATTTTCAAGATCCCTGAAAATGGTGAATGGTATTTAAAATTCGACCCGGCCCAACCAAGCTTCTTTTTTACTTGTTGTGCAATGCTTTTCAAGGTCCCGACTAATATTGTATAAAATGTAATAAAAAACTAACTTCTTTACTTTTTAGGTGGCTAATTGCCTTAAAAATCGGAAGTGGCTTAAATTTCATATTTTGAAATGTAATCTATCTTATAAAGTAACCGATCTAGATCGACAAAAAGTAAGCAAATTTAATTATGTAACTCCACGTTTTGGAACGCTCCGCTATATATTGATACCACCGAATTGTTTATGGTTTTGATAAAGTTTTCCGATTAAGTGACTTGTGTTATTTTCATCGAGCAAAATTTAGATTTCGTCCAAATTTGATGCATCGTAATACTTTTTTAAAATTTTGATCGAATTTGCAAAATTGATCTACCCATATTTGCAACTCGCTTATTTAATGCAAAATAGTTAACTGGTGTTTCCTTTAACTCTGCGCACAACAATATTTTCAACTACATTGCGATCATTCTTATGGTATCTTCCACAAAAAGTCAAGATTTCAAATTCTTGATTCTTGTAACATCGCACAAAGCAATACATCCGCCTATATTACATCTCTTGTGACTATGGTACTTATCGGCCCACTCCTTATCGTATATCACCACAAAGGGTAGAAATAGAAGACTTACCTGTTTTGGAGATTGTTCATCGACTTCCGAATACGCATTTGGCAGTTTTTCACATTGCCCCTGGTCCTCTTGCTGCTGCCGCAACAATTGTTCATCGATGTGCTTGCGTATACGTAATTCGGTTTCCTGGAAACGTTTTCTGTCAAAAACACACACGCACACAGAACAAAAATAAATTGGAAATTTATTAAAGAGACATCGAATTCTAACCAAATCAATTATATCATTCAATACGCACACACACACACATACAAACAATAAAAGAAAATGCGTTCTTCATTACCTTGCTCTCAAAATCTGTTGCATATCCTTAGGGTCTGAGGTAAATGGTGTGGGTACACGTTCGGAACGTTCCTTCATTTTTGCTCTTTCCTGTTCCAGGAACTCTTTCAAACGTTGTTCACATGGCCACCATTCCTCATCGTGAATCCTGCGAAGAGAATGCCAAACAAAACACACCAAAAGATTAAAACAAACTGGCTACATAATGAAGTAAGTGATAGTAGTTAAAGTTGAGAATTTGCACAAACAAGAGAAGAGGAGAAGAAGATGGTAACGAGCACAATAAGAAAAGTTGTAATCCTTTTTGCATGCCTTGTAAATAAAAACGTTTCAATTCGCAACCATAAGGATGGGGAAAAATTAATTAAATTAAATATGGTACAAGTCATTGTATAAAATATGTTTGTATGTTTTAATTAACATCAGGGGGGGGGGGGGGGGGGGGGGGGTTGGTGCGGTAGTGTGTACGTGGTGTGTACCGTGAATTCTTTAAAAGCTAAGTGATTAACAGAATTCAGGCGAATTGTGCAATGTATGACCGGGACCGGGAAGTGCTACACGCACTAAATAGTTATTTTATTTTAAAGAAGTGGAGGAGAGGCATTGCCTGAATGAGCTAAGGGAATGAAGGTTTTTGTATGCTCTATAAAGAATGGAATATAGTTAATTTGTGTCTAAACTCTCGCTTGACTCAAAATTTCAAATGAAAACTTCTGTAAAGGAAAAAAAATGTCAAATGAAAAATTTTGTAAAGAAAATTAAATTCATTTCATGTTTTCATAGAAAAACAAGTAAACAAAAACATTAAGTTCGGCCGGGCAAAACCTTTAATACCATCCACCTTAGGGTAAAAGAAACATTAGAAGAAATGTGGCAAAAACCATTAAAATGCCGAATATCGGGAGGTACCGTTATATGGAGGCTACACCAAAACGTGGACCTATAAGTACAATGTTTCGCCACACGAACTAAGACCCATTATGACCCACAAATACCAATTTTTAGACAAATCAGTGAAAAAATGTGGCAAAAACCATCAAAATACCGAATATCGGGAGGTACCGTTATATGGAGGCTATATCAAATCATGGACCCATGCATGCAATGTTTCACGAACGGAGCTGGAACCCATTATGACCAACAAATACCAAATTTCAGACAAATCCGTGAAAAAATGTGGCAAAAATCATCAAATTACCGAATATCGGGAGGTACCGTTATATGGGGGCTATACCAAATCATGGACCCATACATTCAATGTTTCGCCACCGGAGCTGGAAACCATTATGACTCACAAATACCAATTTTTAGACAAATCCGTGAAAAAATGTGGCAAAAAAAAACTAAAATACCGAATATCGGGAGGTACCTTTATATGGGGACTATACCAGAACGTGGACCGATATATCTCATTTTCAATACCAACCATCCTAGACACAATGCAAATTGCTCTGCTAAATTTTGGCGTCTACGTCAAATAATGTGGGCTGTATCGTGATTTCAACAGACAGACAGACGGACATCGTTAAATCGACTTAGAATTTTATGCTGATTATGAATATATATATATACTTTATGGGGTCTAAGACGAATATTTAAGAATGTTACAAACGGAATGACAAAGGGTATAATAAGCCAAGGTGAGGGTATAATAAGCCAAACCCTGTACTGGCTGAAAAACCTTCATTAACCCAACTACAATGGAGGTTGGTACTATGGAATTTGGACATAAATTGTCCATTTTGCATAAAAATATTTCCCGAAGGTGAAATATACTATATTTCCATCTTTAGGAACATTAGTTGATTATTGTAGATACAATCCTGAATATACATAAAATCGTGTGTGGTCATTCAAGGGGGTTCATATCAAGGGGTGGGTGTTTTTAATTGAAATATTGTAAAATTAACAAGTAAAAAGGCGGTAAGTTCGGCAGGGCCGATCTTTGAATACCCTCCACCTTTTGGAACGAATTTGGAAATTTACAAAAAATAAAATCCGTTAAAATGTCTGTTAAAATCTTAAAAATACAGAGTATAGGGTCTCTACGTGACGTGAACCCACATAGGCTTTGTTTGTCATAAGCCATTATTATATTCTAATTCGAAACTTGAATAGGCGGTGAAAGCATCAAAATATCGTATATGGGGAGGTATATCGGAGCTATACGAAGAGCTGTTCCTGCATAGACAATTTTATGTCACAGGCTGTCGCATTCATTACGAACTTGAAATACGACATCTCAAACAATTTCAAAATACCGAATATAGGGAGGTAATGATATATGGGGCCTATACGAAGACATGGACCTGCATAGACAATTTTCTGTCACAGACTGTAGTTCCCAATACGAACTCTAAATACGTAATTTGAAACAATTCCGGTGAATAATGACGCTAAAATCGTCAAAATATCGAATTTTGGGAGGTACCGTTATATGGGGGCTATACGAAGAAGTGGACCTGCACAGACAATTTTCTGTCATAGACTGTAGTATCCATTACGAATCTCAAATACCAAATTTGAAACAATTCCGGTGAATAATGTCGCTAAAATCATCAAAGTAACGAATATCGGGAGGTACCGTTATATGGGAGCTGCACAGATAATTGTCTGTCATAGGCTGTAGTATCCATTTCGAACTTCAAATGCCAAAGTTGAAACCATACGGTGAATAATTTCGCTAAAATTATCAAAATACCGAATATCGGAAGGTACCGTAATATAGGGGCTATATGAAAACGTTGACCTACATGGCCCATTTACGAACTTAACCTGCCTACTGGAAAAATAAACACGTGTGCAAAATTTTAGCCTTCTATCTCAATTCGCTCGAAAGATAGCGTGATTACAGACATGGCTAAGCCGACTTAGAATTTTACGCTGATCAAGAATATATATACTTTGTTGGGTCTGACATGAGTATTTCGAGGAGTTACAAACGGAATGACAAAGTTAATATACCTTCCATAGTATGGTGGAGGGTATAAAAATACCGAATGTAGCCGTTATATTAGTGTCTATATGAGGTCCATATCCTCATATGTGATTTCCACAGACGGACGTTGCTAAATCGACATAGAATTTTATGCTGATCAAGAATATTTAAACTTTGTGGGGTCTAAAATGTATATTTCGAGGTGTTACAAACGAAATGACAAACTTAATATACCCTCCATATTATGGTGGAGGGTATAGAAATATATAAAATAAGAATAAAATTATAATGATCTATTTGCTATTTCCTTCACATTTTAAAAACAAAAGTGCCACCCCCAAACGAACACCTATCACACATACCTTAATCCCGCTAACATAGTATGAACAACATCCGCCATAATAAATCATCGCATCATTCACTTTTTAATGGTTTGATGTAATAATATTTTATGTCTTTTGTTTTATGTAACAAAGCTTTTTCTCATGTCAAATAACTTTATTATGTTGGTCTTGAATTTTTACGCCAAACACCCACCCGCACACAAAACCCTCTAACGACATAGTATAAAAAAAACAAGTTAAAAAGCAGTAAGTTCGGCCGGGCCGAACTTTTAATACCCTCCACCATTTGCAACGAATTTGGAAATTTTCAAAAAATAAAATCCTTAAAAAATTCTGTTAAAATTTTGAAAATACAGAATATAGCCGTTATTTTGGGATCTATACGACGTGGGCATACATAGGCATTGTTTCTCATAAGCCATTATCATATTCAAATTCGAAACTTGAAATAAACGGTGAATAATGTAGCTAAAATCATCAAAATACCGAATATAGGGAGGTACCGTTATATGGGGGCTATCCGAAGACCTGGCCCCGCACAGACAATTTTCTGTCACAGACTGTAGTTCCCATAACGAACATCAAATACCAATTTTAAAACAATTCCGGTGAATAATGTCGCTAAAATCATCAAAATACCGAATATAGGGAGGTACCGTTATATGGGGGTTATATGAAGACGTGGACCTGCACAGACAATTTTCTGTCTTAGGGTGTAGTATCCATTTTGAACTTCAAATACCAAATTTGAAACAATTCCCGTGAATAATGTCGCTAAAATCATCAAAATACCGAATATCGGGAGGTACCGTTATATGGGGGCTATACGAAGACGTGGACCTGCACGGATAATTTTCCGTCTTAGGGTGTAGTATCCATTTTGAACTTCAAATACCAAATTTGAAACAATTCCCGTGAATAATGTCGCTAAAATCATCAAAATACCGAATATAGGGAGGTACCGTTATATGGGGGCTATATGAAAACGTGGACCTACATAGCCCATTTACGAACTTAACCTGCCTACTGGAAAAATAAACATGTGTGCAAAATTTTAGCCACCTATCTCAATTCATTCGAAAGATAGCGTGATTACAACAGACAGACGGACAGACAGACAGACGGACAGACAGACAGACAGACAGACAGACAGACAGACAGACGGACATCGCTAAATCGACTTAGAATTTTACGCTGATCAAGAATATATATACTTTGTTTGTCTGACATGAGTATTTCGAGGAGTTACAAACGGAATGACAAAATTAATATACCCTCCATAGTATGGTGGAGGGTATAAAAAGAGGGGATGTTGGCTTGAACGCATATATCTCAAGAATGGCTGCACCGATTTTGACAAATGCAGTCAATTCAGAATGCCCTCTTGGCATAAAAGCATAAAATCTAAAGAAAATCGCATAAAAATACGCCTATGATGATGTTAATATTGATTTTTTAGTATTTTGTGACATATTTTTATTTTTTTCATATTTTTTATCGCATGCGATTTTTTCAATTTGACTTATAATATTGAAGTGTATATTTTGTAATATTTTTTCACCTTACAACACAGGTTGGGGATATTATATGCAGATCGCAATTATCGTTCGATTGTCACGAAAACGGTAGGGTTAGCCGCAGAAGGCTATTGTTTTCAAAGATGTCCGCAATATATTTAGGGGTTGAAATGGACTAACAATTAAAAATGTTAGTAAAAAAGTTAGTTAAAAGGTCATAAATAGAATGAAAAAAAAAAAAAAATTCCAACAATACTTACAGGCGATATCCGAAAATGATTTAATTGACGAATTAGCCAAATATCGTAGACAAAAAAATCATATAGGAAATTTCGAAACGAAAATTCAGGTGATTTGGGCTGATATTGACCATTTAGTGCACATTTAACCCGAAATCGGATGAAGATATATATGGGAGCTATATCCAAATCTGAACCGATTTCGATAAAATTTAAAACAGCTATTCCTGTGCTCCATCTAATACCTGGTACCAAATATGACGGTTGTGGAGTGAATATTACGAATGTATGGGACTAAAACTCTAAATCGGATGAAACATATATATGGTTGATATATCTATATCTGAACCGATTTTCACTAAATTTGATATACTTGCTTCTAGGCTGAATTTGGTCCGATGTACTAAAATTCAGTCCATTTGGATTTATATCGGCCATTTGGTGCACAATTAACCCGAAATCAGATGAAGATATATATGGGAGCTATATCCAAATCTGAACCGATTTCGGTAAAATTTAAAACAGCTATTCCTGTGCTCCATCTAATACCTGGTACCAAATATCACGGTTGTGGAGTGAATATTACGAATGTAAGGGACTAAAACTCTAAATCAGATGAAACATATATATGGTTGCTATATCTATATCTGAACCGATTTTCACTAAATTTGATATACTTGCTTCTAGGCTGAATTTGGTCCGATGCACTAAAATTCAGTCCATTTGGACTTATATCGGCCATTTGGTGCACAATTAACCCGAAATCGGATGAAGATATATATGGGAGCTATATCCAAATCTGAACCGATTTCGATAAAATTACAAACAGCTATTTCTGGGCTGTATCTTTTATCTGGTACCAAATATCATTCTTGTGGAGTGCATATTACGAATGTGAGAGGCTTAAACGCCAAATCGGATAAAACATATATATGGGAGCTATAGCTGTTTCTGAACCGATTTTCTCCAAATTTGTTGTATTTGCTTTAAGGCTAATCTCGGTCACATGTGCCAAAATTCGGGCCATTTGGGCTGATATTGGCCATTTGGTGGCCAATTAACCCGAAATCGGATGAAGATATATATGGAAGCTATATCCAAATCTGAACCGATTTCGATAAAATTTAAAACAGCTATTTCTGTGCTCCATCTAATACCTGGTACCAAATATCACGGTTGTGGAGTGCATAGTAGGAATGTGAGGGACTTAAAGATCAAATCGGATGAAAGATATATATGGCAGCCATAGCTATATCTGAACCGATTTTCTCCAAATTTGATATACCTGCTTCTAGGCCGAACTCGGTTGGGTGTGCCAAAATTCAGGTAATTTGGACTGATAGTGGATATTTGGTGCACATTTAACCCGAAATCGGATGAAGATATATATGGGAGCTATATCTAAATTTGATCCGATTCTCACCAATTTCAATAGGGTTCGTCCTTGGGCCAAAAAAATATTGTTTGGAAAATTTCATCTCAATCGGATAATAAATGCGACCTGCATTTTGTTCACAAGAATACATGGACAGACGGACGGACGGACGGACAGACGGACTGACATGCATAAATCGACTCAGAAAGTGATTCTATGAAGGTTCTCAAAAGTAACTATGGGTCTATCTCGTTTCCTTCTCCCTGTTACAAACAAATGCACAAAGACATAATACCCTTACCACTATGTGGTGTAGGGTATAAAAAATTGTAGAAAACAAATTGCTATTCTGGTTCCGAGTAAAAGATTCTTCCAAAATGTTTCAAGTAAATAAGCAGTAAGTTCGGCTGGGCCGCACATTTAATAATTCGAAAGGAATTTGCAAATTTTCGAAAAAAATAGAATGAAATATACTGCGAAATCATAAAAATGTCGTATATAGTTACAGTTATCGTTATATTAGGACCTACAAAGACCTGGGCCTGCATAGAAAATTTTCTGTCATAGAAGGTAGTACCTATTAGAAACTTAGTACCCATTATGAAATTTGATGCAATTCCGATGAATAATGTCGCTAAAATCATCAAAATACCAAATGTAAGAGGTACCATTATTTGGGACCTATACGAAGACCTGGACCTACATAGACAGTTTTCTGTCACAGATGGTAGTACCCATTAGAAACTACAAAAATGAAATTTGAAACAACTCCAATTGATTATTTCGCTAAAATCATCGCAATACCGTTATATGGGGGTTATTCGCAGACGTAGACCCTACATACTATGATGGAGGGCATAAAAGTTGAAACACGCATTCGTTACCCCAATATTCTTTAGAGGTGCAATGCTCTTCGAAATATCACTCATAGGAACAACTTTTCACAAAGCATTGAAATTTTGTTTCACTAAATTACACTGTGCAACAAACAAGTAATTACAAGAAATACTCAGCAGGTTACGAAAGTACAGGATGAGCTGAAAAACTGCAACCAAATTCAGACTGCTGTCATTTCTAAGCCACTCGTCCGGCAACTTTTAAAATTATTCCAGTTTATTATATGGTTTACAAGCGTACAAAAGCATTTTGGTGAGAATTTTCAAAAAAAAGTTATTCGTGATAGAATTCATACGTGATAGTGTGATTTCTTTATATTTGGCTGGAAAACACAAGTGGCTATCGTTAGAGCACTCCAGCATTTAAATGTGATTAAATATTTTGTGTCTCGTACCATCGCTCTTTACCGTGATACTGGTAGCGTAACCCGACGTCAAGGAAGTGGACGGAAGAAAACAGCAACATCAGCAGAAATGGTTCCAAAAGTAAAGAAGCGACTTGATCGAAACCTGCGATGCAGTGGCCGAAAATGGCTCGTGAGCTGAACATATCGCAATATTCCATTTGGCAAATATTGAAAAATGACCTCGTGCTAAAGTCCTTGAAATTTCAAAAAGTGCAAGAACTTACTCCGCAACAGAAAAGAGTTACTTCGCTTGGCCGAAAGTGGTGAAGTGCCGAATTTTCTCCGGTTTTCTCCGACGAGAAAACATTCGTTGTTCCTCAGTTTGTAAGGAAACAAAATTATCGTGTTTACTTGCTAAAGAGGTCAGCTGAAAATGTGCACCTTCGGTTGTCCATAGTGATGATGTGGACAGCCACAATAGCCGATGGTCGCTCTCCGCTCGTATTAATCGAACGTGGCATCAGAATAAATGCCAAATATTATCGCAAAAATAATCTGGGGGGTGTATTAAAGCCCTGGGCATAGACCTTGGACATTCCAACAGGACTCAGCACGCGCCTCCCAAAAATGGTTACAAAATGAGGTTCCTCGCTTCATATCCAGCGCACAATGTCCACTAAAAGCTTCGAATACCAATCCGTTGGACTATTGCGTCTGGAGTATTTTGGAAAGCAAGGTTGGCACTAAAAAATACCAATTCAAGCAAGCGCTTCGCCGGGAATGGGCCAGTGGATCAACATTCGGGCAGCGTGTGACGGTTTCATTGGACGTTTGAAGGCAATAATTCGTGCCAAAGGTGACCAATTCGAACAAATCTAAACTTATTCTAAAATTAGATGCTATTTCCGACATTTTTTGCTTTCATTTAATAAAATTAAAAAAAAATTAAATTATGGGGTTTGACTTTGTTTCTGGCTTTTTGTTATCTCACCCTATATATCTTAGATCCTAAATCTCTTTAGTCCAAATCAGTTTCAGGACATTTGGTGTCAATCTAGGGGTGTCCGTCCGTCCGTCTGTGTGTCTGGCTGACTGACCGATTGTCAAACTCAGATCGAATTTGTAAATGGCCAATATCCGTTTACTCCTTCTGGTACCTCCCCACCAAAGTCAAAATTTTCACAGAAAATAATTTTCAATATAAAAAATGATAAGATCATCTAATTTTGTCAAAACTTTGTATATCCTAATGCTTTTGTTAGTTCTAGGTCAGGTGCGAAAAATTTTGAATAATCATAACACTTATATAATGTGAAATAAGAGTTTGATTGCCCTAAAATATGGAATATCCCAATATTTCTACCAATAGAAGGAATAAAGATGGTACCTTCACCTTGATCTTGTCCTGGTCTGTTTCCTCCCCCACAACGGGTAAAATTTTTGAATAACCGCGAAGCTTATAAAACTCGAAATGATCACCCGATACCTTTCAAACTCTGGCGGGATCGCTCTTTCCGGAGCTACAGGTCAAAATTTCGTTCTGAAAATTTTGAAGCTTGTTAAATGCGATGTGAGCATCCGATTATCTTCAAATGCGAAGTAGGGCTAAGATTCTCTTCAAATTGCACACATTCCAGTATTTCTATCAATTACGGTTTACTCCAATTTCACATATCCCAATATTTTTACTAACATGAAGATGATATATATCAGAACACACCTTTTGGTACCTCCCCCAAAAAGGGTCACAATTTTCAGTACTCTCATAACCCATAATAGAACTTGAACATCCGTATAAGATGAAGTTGAACACTTGGGTCGACTATACCTCACGTTCGACTATACCTCACTCATATAAAATAAAGGAAGTAGTGCTTTGTAGTCCAAATTGGCAACGTTGTTATATTTATATCAATGTTAGGCTAGATACGAAATGTTGGCTCACTTCTTCGGAACACCCTCCATAATGTGTCATCATTTTGAATAATCATAAAACATGTTAAAATATACTTAAATATACGGATATTGGCTGAGGATATACATCTGTCGAAAAACCCGACTGATACTTTATAACTTCTATAAAATAATGGCTCAGTAATCTTAACAATTTTGCCACAATCACAAAAAACTTACCTCAACAAATCGACTCCCTTGGTGGCATCCTCTTCAGTATATTGCCGCTCTAAATTATCCTGATCCTGTATACGATTGCGTAATTGATCCAAACGCTGCGCTTCATTCTCTTCGTGCTGGATACGTTCACGTTGCCATTTGGCACCTTGCAGCTTCAAACGTTCCGAATTCTTTTCTCGATTTGTTTTAAGCTAAGCAACAACAAGCACAACAACAAGAAGGATAATTTGTCAAACAAAAATCTCATCACAACTTCCAATAAATCCTTTCAATGCCCCTGGTAGGGGTGTTATTGCTGTTGTTGTTGGTAAATCCTCTTACCTTTGCTCTGGCCTTTGATATTTCCAAATCGGCTTTTTTGTCCACCACAAAAATGGGGTCATCTGCCAACTCATCAGGAATAACTTTGGTTTTGCCTTCAATAATTAAAATTCGTTCTCGTTCGACTTCTTTAAGCTAGGAAAAAGAAAAGCGAAAAAAGGGGAGTAAATTCAAAGAAAGGATGACGTGCTATCATGAAACTCTTAAATACCCAATGAGTTATCAGTCAAGGTATGTTTGACAATGTCAAAGTTGGGGGGGGGGGGGGGGGGGGGCTGGGTGTTTGGTTGGTGGAAAGGTAACTAAGGTTTCGATTTATCGCTAATTTGTTTTGTCTGTCGATTGCAATGCCAATAAACCATTTCTCTGGGCTTATTTTCACAAATATTTTCGTTGCCAAGTCGGTTATTGTTGTCAATACTGTTGTTGTGTTATTTTCCCCTGGTGTCATGATTTCTTTTTGGGTGACAAAAGTGTCACTTTAATTTGTTTGGTTATTATGTTTCATTTTCCTTTTTTTGGAGATTAGGAAAAACAATAGAATTTTCTCATTTTTTTCCTATGGAAGAAAATTGCTTGGAATTATGATTATCGGAGAAGACTTTTTATGGTGTTTTTTGGTTTGCAACCGCCAATCGAGAAGATATCGTAATGGCGCTCCATTGAAAAAAATTTTAAATTATCGTATTTCGGAGATTAATCTTTGGTTCATTTTATGAGGTGACGTTTACTCTTTGGGGACTGCCATTCATCACGCAAAGCCTAATTTCAAAATCAAATGACATGAAACAGACTATCAAAAAAAAAAACTTTGGCAGGTGTCAATCATTGGCATAGTTAATAATGGAGAGAAATAGCTTTGGCATATTATGGTTTTTATGAATTGTTAGTATTTTATGAATAGATCTCATCGATATTTAAGCGAAAACATAAAAAATAGCTGAGTCATGGAAATTTCCATTTAAGTTGGGGAACTGTGGAACAGTCAATCTGAGAGGTGGGGAATTTGTTTAGTTTTTTGACAGGATTTCTTCGCAGAAAAGTTTATAGTCGTAACAGTCTCAGCCAGGCTCAAGTTGGCTGTAGCTTTTTGCAACCAGACATTTTAAGGTGAGAGGGCTCTCTACAAATATATTTCTTGGTTACAAACATTTTAATACTGCGCCCAGTTAAATACAAATATATTTTGGTTCTAAAAAAAATACGGAATTAAAAAAAAACTATTTATTGTAATGAAAAAAATGTCAAGTCAAAACCAGTAAGGAAAACTCAAAAGTCGGGCGGGGCCGACTATATAATACCCTACACCACTATGTATATTTAGTAGAGCTCTCGTAAAAAGGTTTATACAGGGCATTTCAGAGCTCTATGAGATATTTGGTACAAAATCAAAATATATCTAATTCTATCGTGCATTTTACGAACTATAGCTATCTCTGAACCGGGTTTCTCCAAATTTTACGTATTAGCTTCTAGACTGGTGATTTGGGCTGATATTGACCATTTAGTGCACATTTAACCCGAAATCGGACGAAGATATATATGAGAGCTATATCCAAATCTGAACCGATTTCGATAAAATTTAAAACAGCTATTCCTGTGCTCCATCTAATACCTGGTACCAAATATCACGGTTGTAGAGTGAATATTACGAATGTATGGGACTAAAACTCTAAATCGGATGAAACATATATATGGTTGCTATATCTATATCTGAACCGATTTTCACTAAATTTTATATACTTGCTTCTAGGCTGAATTTGGTCCGATGTACTAAAATTCAGTCCATTTGGACTTATATTGGCCATTTGGTGCACAATTAACCCGAAATCGGATGAAGATATATATGGGAGCTATATCCAAATCTGAACCGATTTCGATAAAATTACAAACAGCTATTTCTGGGCTGCATCTTATATCTGGTACCAAATATCATTCTTGTGGAGTGCATATTACGAATGTGAGAGGCTTAAACAACGGATGAAAGATATATATGGGAGCTATAGCTATATCTGAACCAATTTTCTCCAAATTTGATATACTTGCTTCTAGGCCGAACTCGGTTGGGTGTGCCAAAATTCAGGTAATTTGGACTGATAGTGGACATTTGGTGCACATTTAACACGAAATCGGATGAAGATATATATGGGAGCTATATCTAAATTTGATCCGATTCTCACCAATTTCAATAGGGTTCGTCTTTGGGCCAAAAAAATATTGTTTGGAAAATTTCATCTCAATCACAAGAATACATGGACAGACGGACGGACAGACGGACTGACATGCATAAATCGACTCAGAAAGTGATTCTATGAAGGTTCTCAAAAGTAACTATGGGTCTATCTCGTTTCCTTCTCCATGTTACAAACAAATGCACAAAGACATAATACCCTTACCACTATGTGGTGTAGGGTATAAAAAGTGCTAAATTTAGTCCGTGTACAAGACGAGTTTGTCGTTGGGATTTCTAAATTGTCATATGAAATGACATATGTACAGGAAACAGCAATTTTTATACCCTACACCACATAGTGGTAAGGATATTATGTCTTTGTGCATTTGTCTGTAACATGGAGAAGGGATCGAGATAGACCCACAGTTACTTTTGAGGATCTTCATAGAATCGCTTTCTTAGTCGATTTATGAATTTCAGTTAGTCTGTCCGTCCGTCTGTCCGTCTGTCTATGTATTCTTGTGAACAAAATGCAGGTCGCATTTTTTATCCCATTGCGGTGACATTTTGCAAATAATATTTGTTTGGGCCAAGGACCAACCCTAATGAAATTGGCGAGAATCGGTTCAAATTTAGATATAACTCCCATATATATCTTCAACCGATTTCAGGTTAATTGTGCACTAAATGGCCAATGCAATTCCAAATGACCTGAATTTTGGCACATCCGACCATCCGTCGGTCTAGAAGCAAGTGCAATTTAGTGAAAATCTCTTCAGATATATCTATATCTCCCATATATACAGGGTGAGATGAAAAAACTGCAACCAACTTCAGACAGCTGTCATTTCTAAGCCACTCGTCCGACATCTGTTAAAATTATTCCAGTGACAGCTCATAATATTGTTTGCAAGCGTACAGAAGCATTTTGTTTAGAATTTCCCAGAAAAACAGTTATTCGATGGAATTCAAGCATGATACAGTAAAAATGCCGAATATTATCGCGAAAATATACTGGAGGGTGTATTAGAGCCTTGGGTACGCAAACACTCCAACAGAACCCAGCACTATTTCCGACATTTTTGCTTTCATTCAATAAAATTGAAAAAAAAATAAAAAGTAAAAAAGCAGTAAGTTCGGCTGGGCCGAACTTTGAATACCCTCCACCATTTGAAACATATTCAAAAAATAAAAACAAAATCCATTAAAAATTCTATTAAAATCTCAGAAGGTCCCGATATATGGGGGGATAAATGATATTGTGGACCTACATAGGTAAATCTATGTCTAGGGATAAAGTAAAAATGTGGCTAAAATCATCAAAATACCGAATATCGGGGGGTACCGTTATATGGGAATATACGATATCATGGACCTATACAGAGAACTCCCTGTCAGGGGGTAAAGTGTTCACAAAGAACCCCTTGTGTAGAATTTCAGACAATTCCGTTGAAAAATGTGCCTAAAATCATCAAAATATCGAATATCGGGGGGTACTGTGGTATGTGGACTATATAATATCGTGGACCTATATAGATTATTCTCTTTCAATAAATAAAGTACTCGCAAGGAACTCAGACCATTCCATTGGAAAATGTGGCTAAAATCATCAAAATCCCGGATATCGGGGGATACCGTTATATGGGGGATGTACCATATCGTGGATCAATATAGACAATTAATAATCAAAATACCGAATATCGGGGGAACCTTTATATGGGGGCTATACGATATCGTTGACCGATATAGCCCATCTTCGAACTTGACCTGCCTGCAGACAAAAGAGAGGTCTGGGCAAAATTTTAGCTTTCTATCTTAATTCGTTTAGCCTGTAGCGTGATTACAACAGACGGGCAAACGGACGGACGGACAGGGCTAAATCGTCTTAGAACGACGCTGATCAGGAATATATATACTTTGTTGGGTCTAAAATGATTATTTCGATGAGTTACAAACGGAATGACGAACTTATGGTGATTTCATGTTTATTGTGCACCAAATGGTTAATATCAGACCAAATGGAGTGAATTTTGGCAATTCTGACTGAATTCATCCTAGAAACAAGTACTTGAAATTTGGTGAAATCTACATAAAAACGTTTCTACTAAATATGCCAAGTGGTGTAGGGTATTGTTGAGTCTGCCCGAATGACTTTTGCCCATTCTTTACTGGTTATACACACAACACTGTGCGTTGGAGACATTATACATTTGATTTGACCATACAATTTGTATCACCTCTTATTATTAGTGCCGGACATAGGAGGAGCAGGTCGAGCTGCGTCGATCTTGCTATATGTGTCCGTCTGTCTGTCCATGTTAATTTGTAATCACGCAGCAGGTCAGAATAGAAGCCTTTGGATATGATTGCAAAATATTTAGGAGAAGCAGAAATAGAACAAGTAGAAAAAGTAAGTTCGGCCAGGCCGACCTTTTTATACCCTCTATCATTTGGAAGAAACTTGAAAATTTTACAAAAAATTCCGTCGGAATGGTGTACAGTATAAGATAAATCGTACGAAGAAATATATGGGAACTATATCTAAATTTGGATCTATTACCAATTTCAATACAGTCGACTTGGGTCACTCAAATGATTTGTGCAACATGTAATCTTGACATATAGTAGAATTTTATGATACATAATTTTGTTGATTACGACTACGTATATAGGAAAGGAACACGTTCGGATATTGAATCCACATTTTTTTATTTAATTTTTATTGTTTTCCTCAACTCATTGTGAAGGGTATTTAAAATTCGGAATGGCCGTATTATTTTACACTCCACAATACATACATAGTATGGAAGGTATATTTAGTTAATAATACCGTTTTTTACTCATCGAAATAATAATTTTAGACCTTACAAAGTATATATATTCTTGAAAGCATTAAATTCTAAATTTAAGCCCTAAAATGTAGCCCGTCCGTCCGTCCGTTTGTTGCAATCAAGCTAAATTCAAAACGAATTAATATAGGAAACTAAAATGTTTCACAGATCTGTCATTTGTCTGCAGGTCAAGATGGGCTTTATCGGTACACGATATTGTATAGCTCCCACACAACGGTACACCCTGATGTGCGGTATTTTTTTTAGCCTACACCACATAGTGGTAAGGGTATTTGTGCATTTGTTTGTAACAGGGAGAAGGAAGCGAGATAGGCCCATACCTACTTTTGACGATCTTCAGAGAATCACTTTCTGAGTCGATTTATGCATGTCAGTCCGTCCATCCGTCCGCCCGTCCATGTATCTTTGTGAACAAAATGCAGGTCGCATATATTATCCAATTGAGATTGTGCACCAAATGGCTAATATAAGACCAAATCCATATATATATCGGGAGGCCTACTCGAAGTTATATGGGGGCTATACGAAGACGTGAAACTGCACAGGCTGTAGTATCCATTACGAACTTTAAATACCAAATTTAAAACAATTCAGGTGAAAAGTATCGCTAAAATTATCAAAATACCGAATATCGGGGGGTACCGTTATATGGGGGCTATACGAAGACGTGGACCTGCACAGACAATTTTGTGTCATAGGCTGTAGTATTTATTTCGAACTTTAAATACCAAATTTAAAACAATTCCGATGAATATTGTCGCAAAAATGATAAAAATACCGAATATCGGGAGGTACTGTTATATGGGGGCTATACCAAAACGTGGCCTATTTTCAATACCAAAAGTCCTGCAGACATAACATACATTTGAGTAAAATTATATCAATCAACTTCAATTCGTTCGGTAGCTTGAGTGATTTCTACAGACGGACGGACATCGCTAAATCGACATAGAATTTATGCTGATCAAGAATACAAGACCCTAGAAGAATTGAAGGGTCTAAAATGTATATTTCGAGGTGTTACAATCGGAATGACAAACTTAATATACCCTCTATACTATGGTGGAGGGTACAAAAATATATAACCAGTAAAGAGAGTCGTAACGTCGGTCAAGAATCATACCAACTATGCTTATAGTAATAATTTAAAGCCAAAATAAACTCTGCTTTGAATCGATTTCTACTAAAATTACGGAGGCATTTGTTCCTTTTCAATTCGGGCTTACTTTACCCATTTGGTGCACAATAAACTTGAAATATGATAAAGATATATAGGGGAGCTATATCCAAATCTGAAACGATCTCGAAAAAATTTAGCAAAAGTATTTTGTTAGTTTTATTTGATATATTTTCTCGCATGTTGTTGTTACGGAGGACATATTATGGCTGTGGAGGACAAATATAATAAATCGGATGAACAATATATATGGAAGCTATAGCTATATCTGAACCAATTTCGATCAAATTAGCCATACTTATTTTCAGGCTTAATTTGGTTCTATGTGCGAAATTCCATACTATTTGGGCTGATATTACATGTTCGGTGCACAATAAAAGGCAAATCGGACGAAGATATATATGGGAGCTATATCTAAATTTTGACCTATTTTCTCCAATTTCAATAAGATTCGTCCTTGTGCCAAACAAATGATTTGTGCAAAATTTCATCTGGATCGGGTAATAAATGCGACCTGTACTTTGTTTACAAAAATACATACACAGACGGACGGACCGACATGCATAATGCAGAATGTGATTCTATACAGATCATCCAAAAGAACTATGGGTCTATCTTGCTTCCTTTTGCTTGTAATAGACAAATGCATAAAGGCATAAAACCTTGACCACTTTGTGGTGTAGAATATAAAAAAGGGTTTCAGATCTAAAAAAAACTTTTCTTAAAATTATAGTGTTGTAGAGAATCACATGGTCGCCCAGCACGACTATAGCCTTTGCCTTTGCTGCCAAAAACAGGCTGTTTAGCACTTATTTCAATTTTCAAACTATCATTCACAATAAACTTGAACTTATTTCCTTTAGCCAAGATTCCTTTACTCTTTGGAATGCACTGCAAATACATTACTTCAATTCACTGCTACCCTCCTACATTCACTGCAAAGGTTATGTATCAGACGGTAATGTACTTCGTATAAAAACAGCAACAAAAACCTACTTCATATTGAACACCAGCCAGGGTCATATTACTGCTGCCAATTGAAATCAAATATTGAATTTCCATGACACCATGTCATCAACTGGCAATTGTTTGCGGAAACGAAACGATGATGGAATATAAACTTAAAGTAAAAACTAAGGCGTAATATTTGTCACTAAATTAGTTTTTCGTGGTTTCCATTTTCCCAGAAGGGAAAACTCGAATTACGGAAATACGACCAAACTGCAACCACTTGAAAATTGTAAAACTGCCAGCAAACATGACATTCATGCAACAATGCCACTTTAAAGTGACTCACTTAAATTTCAAAGTTTAGGGTAACAAAAAAAAAAACAGTGAAAACACCTACCTCTCTGGCCTTGATACGTTTCTGTAGATTTTGGCGATAGTCCTCCTCGATACGTTCTCGCAACTCCTTCATGTAATTGCGGTCAGTTAGTCGAACTACATTTGTGCCCATTAGCCGTTCTAAAGCTGCACTGATCCGGGGTGAATTGAAGCTGGAAAAAAGGAAATTAGAAACAGTTTTTAAAATATTTTTTCAAAATTGTTTTCAATCAAAAACTTTGCATACTTTTTTGATATTCACTTACAAATGATTAAATAAGGAAATGCTGCTACTCGCTGCAATGTTCACTCCGAGCTTAAGTGAAATAAAACTAAACAATGTTTTGGTAAAACCTATGAGACTTATCAAAGGTAGTCATATGACTGTGAGCCCACCGACTGGTTTCAGCGTGTTTAGCTTTGATTTTATTTATGATGAGAATTTTTGGCAAATTCATATGTTGTTACAATTTATTTGATGCCTTCTTGTTATTATTTTGTTTGTCATATTTTTTGGTTGAATTGTTTTTTTTTTTTTTTGCTTCTGTTTATTGTCGTGTTTGGGTTTCGAAAGTTTGGTTGGTTTGAGTTGGCTGCTCGTTTGGGAGTTTGCCTACAGGTCGGCACATGTCAATACAAAAAGGGCAATATCACTTTTTGTTTTTTATTCAATTATAACGGCTATAGTCGACTAACATGTGCTCATTATTCAAAGCGGAAATAAAGAAAACGGGTAAAAAAGGTCCTAAGTTCGGCCGAACTTTTGATTGGAAAATATACCGTTTATACCGAGGGCCTGCATTCGCATTTTTTATATCCTTTACCTTAGCATGGAGGGTATATTAAGTTTGTAATTCCATTTGTAACACCTCCAAATATACATTTGGAGGCAAAGCATATATATTCTTGATCAGCATAAAATTCTATGTCGGTTTTGCGATGTCCGTCCGTCTGTGGAAATCACTCTAGCTTCTGAACGAAATGAAGTTGGTTAATCAAATTTTACTCAGATGTGTGTTTGTTTTGTAGGACTTTTGATATTGAAAATAGGTTATACAGGTCCACGTTTTGGTACAGCCTCCATACAACTGTACTGACAGATTTAATGTACTTGGCTGCTTAAGTCACAATTTTAACCCGAATTTGGTGTAAATTGGCAGTATATATTCCCGTAATCTTGCCTTGTATAGAACGGTCCACTTTTTTAAATTTTATTGAGTGAAAGCAAAAAATGTCGGAAATAGCATCAAATTTTAGAATAAGTTAACATTTGTTCTAATTGGTCACCTTCGGCACGAATTATGGCCTTCAAACGGCCAATGAAGCCGTCACACGCTGCCCGAATGTTGCTCTGCAGTATTTTGGCCCATTTCTGGCGAAGCGCTTCCTTGAAGTGATTGACACGTTGGTATTTTTTTGTACCAACCTAGCTATCTAAAATAGTCCATGAACAATAGTCCAACGGATTGGTATCCGACGATTTTGGTGGCCATTGTGCGCTTTAAATGAAGCGAGGAACATCATTTTCTAACTATTCTTGGGTGGCGCGTGCTAAGTTCGATGGTGCTGAGTCCTGTTGGAAAGACCAAGGTCTGCGGCCATAATGTTTGCGTACCCAAGGCTTTAATACACCCTCCAGAATATTTTCGCGATAATATTCGGCATTTATTATGATGCCATGGTCGATTAGCACAAGCGGATAGCGATAAGCGACTGTTACGGCGTCCCACACCATCACCATGGCCGGCGCTTGAGTTCCGCTGGCCAATAGAAAGTGCACATTTTCAGCTGACCTCTTTGGCAAGTAAACACAGACATTTAGTTTCTTTACAAACTGCTGGACAACGAATTTTTTCTCATCGGAGAAAACCAAATTCGGCATTTCACCACTTCGGCCAAGCGAAGCACCTCTTTATCTCTTTTGAGTCTATTTTCTTTCTGTTGCGGTGTAAGTTCTTGCACTTTTTGGAATTTCAATGGCTTTACCCCGAGCTAGTTTTTCAATATTTGCCGAATGGAATATTGCGATATGTTCAGCTCACGAGCCATTTTTCGGCCACTGCGACGCGGGTTCCGATGAAGTCGCTTCTTTACTTTTCGAACCCTTTCTGCTCATGTTGCTGTTTTCATCCGTACTCTTCCATGATGCCGGGTTACGCTACTCGTATCACAGTAACGAGCGATGGTACGAGACAGAAAAGATTAATTCACATTTAAATGCTCTAACGATAGCCACTTGTGGTTTTCCAGCCAAATATAAAGAAATCACATTATCACGCTTGAATTCCATCACGAAAAAGTTTTTTTCTGGAAAATTCTCACCAAAATGCTTTTGTACGCTTGTAAGCACTATAATGAGGTGTAACTGGAATAATTTTAACAGCTGTCGGTCGAGTGGTTTAGAAGTGCGAGCAGTCTGAAATTGGTTGCAGTTTTTTTCATCTTACCCTTTAATGGTACCCCCAAATTCGGTAATTTTATGATTTTACCGACATTATCCAACAAGGTTTTTGTTTTGAAGACCCAATGGTAGAGTGTAGCAAAAATGCACCAAAAAGTTTTTAGGTTAATCAAATTTAACGAAAGGTACTAAAAGCTACTAATTTGGTATCATGATATATATATTTTTTTTTTTTTTTTGATATACATATTCGTACTAAAAGGGTACGAAAAGTACTAAAAACTGGAAGCTGGAATTTTGTATTGGGATCTCTGTTGGTGGAAAGTTTGAACTATTTCGGCAAATATCCTAGCCATGTGACTACAGAAGATATAAATCATTTGCTACAGCCAAAATTTGCCTAAGCGTAGGACCCTAGCTATCTTTAGACGAAATCCGTTTCAGGACATTAGAAGTCCACTGGACTCTTTCGAATCTCGAATCCGATTTTGTCCAAATTTGTACATTATAGTGAGACTATCGAACTTAAATCGACTTCAGAAATGTTCAAAATTAAAAATCAAAAAATTAAAAAATTTCGAAGAATATAAATTACTTTATGACGAGCGAGGTTGGTATTCGTTTAGAAGTTTTTGGGTGCGCCTAAAATTCTGCTTCAAAATTGGTAGTCACAAAATATTTAAAAAAGCACTTTACAACATTACATGTAACACTAACACGATGTGGAATCCTGCCGTAAACGAATCAACATTTTGAATTCAATTTGCCTCATAAAATGCCAAATGTTTCTTTAACTTTGCACACCAATATCAACTTTTGCACATGAAGATATGACGGTCGACACCTTCTAGGATCCGGAGTTTTCTTCTAATTTCAAACGTTCTTTTTAAAAATATTAGATATAGAATAAATATGGGATGTATAGGATCAATCTTTATGGAAAATGGTGAATAGGGGTATATATCAGTGGGGGGAAGAATGGGCGCAAGTTCAGAAAGGGGTGGTCCAATATTGTCCATTTTCGCACCTGAATATGAGATTTGATTTTTAAACCCGAAACCAAACTGTTGTACAGAGTATTATGTCTTTGAGCATTTGTTTATAACATGCACAAGGATCCTATTAATGATCTTCATAGAATGACATTCTGATTCGATTTATGAATGTCCGTCTGTCCATGTATGTTTGTAAAAAAGCTGGCCCAAGGACAAAACCTATTGAAATAGGTGATGATCGGATCAGATTTGGATATAGCTCCCATATATAGTGTCGTCCGATTTTATAGGTATTTGGCATTTGGTGAATATCGGCTGAGATTTCGTAATTGGGGTTTAAGTCCTCGACATTCCTAATATGCATTCCACTACATTGACATTTTGTGCCATATATCAGGACTGTATCTAAGAAATATCTCTGTAAAATTTTATCGGTATCGGTTGAGATTTGTATATAGCTCCCCTATATATTTTGATCCAATTTCAGGTTTATTGTGCACCAAATGGTTAATAGCAGTCCAAGAAGAAGAGTTTCTGGCACATATGACCTATGAGAAGCAAATGTATATTATTTGGTAAAATTCGGTTCAGATATAGCTATAGTTCCCATTTATATGTGTTATCCGATTTGGTGTTAAAGTCCTCACATTCGTAATATTCACTCCAAAAGAATGATGTTTGCTACTAGATGTAAGATACAGCATAGAAATACCTCTGCCAAATATGATCAAAATCGGTTCAGATGTGGATATAGCTTCCATATATATCTTTGGTCTTTAAGTTCCTCACATTCGTAATATGCACCCCTCAACAATGAAATTTGGTACGAGATATATTATAGTGGTCAGAAATACTTCAGCTAAATTTTATCGGGTCAGATTTGGATATAGCTCCCGTATCCGATTTTACGATGTATACCCATCCGATAGGATGGATTTTTTTTTTGTTACAAATGCATCTGTTTAATTTAGCGGAAACTGATTCACAGTAGAATAAACGTTCCGCTCTAAACTACTCTGAAGTCATAATATGCATTCACAAACGATCATAGTTTGTATGATCTTCTCCTGATAAATTCCCTATATAAACGCTTTTTATATTGCGGATAGACCCAGGTATGTAATTCCCCACAAACGATTTCGTGTTGTGGGAGTGAATCTGGTATCCATACAAATCTAATCTAATAAATATATAAACGTTACAGGCGAAACGCCTATTTATGTATACTGTGCACCCTACGTAACATTGCATGAACTATTAACTTACATGGTGGCAAATAGGCATAAAACTATTAAATATGTGACATTGCCTTTCCTCCTCGGCGTCTACCCCTTTGGAGATTACATGAAATCAAATTTAATGAGCCAGTAAAATGTGACAGCCTTTGTAATTAATTTCTGGCACACACATGTCTTTGCGGTGTATTTACTCCACAGCGAGGGGAAAGTTATTTGAAATTCTATCTGTTTTTTGGGACTACATAACGACTGTAACCGGAGGGGTAGAATCATGTTAAGAAACAATTCCTTGTCTGCCAGTGCAGACGTTATAAATCTAAATGAAATAATATGTTTGGAACTGTTTAGAATTTGTTCTTGTTACGTCAAGTATAGGACAGAGATACATTTTTTCAAATGTCCTAACAGAAAAAATAATTTCATTATTCACAAATCGCAAACAAAACGTGTGGAATAATTTTGTGACCCTCTATGACGTTGGCTCCAAAGGAATGGACCAATATTGTTCATTTCGTGTCGGAAATAAAAAAATAATCTGT